GCAGTGGATTGTAGCTACAGGTTTGCAAAGTGTGTGTTACAAAATGGCAAACTGAGTGCAAAGCAGTGTTTGTGCTTTTAGTTTTGCAAACTCAGTGAGTGGTTTTGCTATAAGTATTAATAGTTTTAGAAATTGTGCTATAAGAATCACAGTTAGGGTTTAAGCATTCAGAAAAAACTGTAATAACATACATTTTATAACTGAAAAGTTCAAGATTTCTTCTGTAATTTATGTATGAAAACCACTGACAGATCCACCAAATGTGGTGTCCCTGCTGTGATACTGAAATTAGCTCAGTCACTAAACCTATCAGAGAAAAAGGCCCTTTAAATCACTATGTTAACAAAGTTACTTTAGTGAGCAGGCAGTGGGTCCATACTGGAGTAGACATCACTTGTGTGGCTCGTAGGTAGTTGCAGTCCGCTATAATGGGCTGGGAGGTTGTCATATATGGGATCAGGGTTCACCTGAGGAGGAAGACACACAACATACTGGGTTAAGCCCTTTCTTTCCAAGCGGGACTTGGAAAGTGTTATTCACGCCTTTATTACTTCCCGTTTGGATTACTGCAATTCTCTTTTAGTAGAGGTTGGGCGTGGCACTTTGTCACGTTTGCAACTCATGCACAATGCTGCGGCACGATTTTTAAGCAGAAGGAAATTCGACCACATCACTCCGGTTTTGGCCTCTCTACATTGGCTTCCAATTGAATCTAGGATCCATTTTAAAGTCCTTTCTTGGAAAGAAAAGTGTCTGAACCCACAGTTGATCTGCATAATCATGTGAGACAAGTTGTAAAAACGGGTGTGGGTCATTCTCCAGCAAGGCTTCGGGTGAAACCATTGTGAGACCTTGTGATGATGTGAGTGGGTGTTAAGGCTTCTCGGTTGGGACCTCAAAACTAGATTATAGATCTCAATTTTGAAATGGCTTGCTAAATTTAGGAAAACATAAATATCAGATTGCATTAAAGTGCCACTGTACAACAGAATAGAAGCTGACATGTAGATTTGGGTTTGTGCTAAATGTTGTACACTGCAGGCCTGCAGTAATGCTTGAGAAGAGAGAACAGATGATTTTGTTAAACAGATGTGTTCCACTATAGAGGTATTGCATGAAGTATGAGAGATATCTGTTCTTGTGACAATAAAACTCAATTAGTCTGTTAGAAAAGTTCACTACTGCCTGTCATGGAATGATTGATAATAATTTATTCAGTGACCTCTTCTCCATTATAATTTCAAATGTGTCAAAAAACAGCTGGTCTCCGGTGAAGAAAGGAGGAGAGTTGTCAATTGATCACCACATGGTGCTGACTTGAATCAGGTGGTGGGGATGCTTGACAGGACTATACCAAACATAAAATGAGGTTACAGTGGGAACAAACTCCCACCTCTGGCAGAATCTTGACAGCAATCCCACTGACAGAGTATGAAAAAGATGAGCTACAAGTGGTGCAAAGTATCTTTCAAGTCGAGGTTGTGGAGCCACTACTCGCCCAAATCAAAAGGTACTAATTGAGATAGTCTGACTAGGATACCTCCTACATGGCTTCTTCCCACTGTGAGGATGCACTGGGGAACACCCAGGACCTGCTGGAGAGATGTGTGATGGCTAACTTGGGAATGCCAAAATGTCCCCACTGCTGCAAGAGCTAGCAGGGGATAGTTTGTTTACATTTCTGCCCTCTCTGTGACCCAACCCAACACAAATGGGAGAAAATAGATGTATGATTATACATATGAAGAAAAATAGAGGAGTTGATGTTTTACACTTGAATCCTGTCATGTACCTGCTCTTCATTGTTTGATGTTTCACTTCTTGCAAAGTCACTGGAAGTCGTTGTCATTCTAATTTAAAAAGAAATTAAATAATTTGCAAATCAACAAGTGATTTCAAATCACAGTTTGAATATGATGAATAAAGAAAAAAAAAAAGGTGTATTTACTTAGTAGGCGATAACTCGATGGTTGAGTAGAGGTCAGTGTCGTTTTTCAAACTGAAACGCAGCCTGACATAGTGATGACCATCCTGCTCCTCCGATTCAGCTGGAACGTTTTTATTTATGAAATCAGGAAAAATCTGCATAGAAAAATAACATCACATTTTATTAATGTATATCCACATACATTTACATATAGAGGTTATAATTCACATGAAGGAGAACAATACAAAGGTTAAAAACACATGCTTTTGTGTTAAGCAGGAATAGATTTATATTAAGAAAAACAAGGTGTTCAAGCAGCCTGTTTTATTTCAGCTGTTATTGCAGAAAAAAAATTTGTTTCCTGTTTGGTACCTGCTGTTTGTTGCCTAATGTTTCAGTTCTTGAAGGCTGGTTAGAAATCCTCTTTTTTCTGAACAGATAGAAAATATATATATAAGTAAAGCCATATCAGAAGAACATATTGATCTGAATGAGATCAAAGCGTTACTCACCTAACACACCAGAAGACAGAGAGAAGTATTAAAAGGAGCAGAGCTGCAGAAACTCCTGCAGCTGCTGGTGTCCATGTTCCTGTGATACTTTGGACAGTGAGAGTCTTTGGAGCAGAGCTGATATCTTTGTTGCTTTTCACAGCACAGGAGTAGCTTCCTGCATCCTCCCTGCTGACTGGGTCTAGGATCAGATGTTTGTTCTGGTTCTCTCTCGGGGTCAGAGGTCGACTGTTCAAGTACCAAATGTAGTTTGTGTTGTCAGTCAGAGGACAGCTGGTACTGCAGGTCAGTGTGACTCTCTGACCCTCTGTCACCACTGCAGAAGGACTCATCCTCACTCTCAGCTCTGAAAGTAAAAAAAAAAAAAATCATTATTTATGCACAATTTTCATTGATTTTTAATTGTCAAACTGAAAACATTTTGGAATTGAAATGAGACATTTATGGTTTGGAAATGTGGTTCTTGTGAATTTAGATTTATAAAAACAAACAAACAAAAAAAAAAATTAGCCAGAAATTTTATTGTTCAAAATTCTTCTGACCTCATTTAAAGTTGACAGTTAAGTGATGCATGCTCCTAGATGTCAAAGGGTTAAATGCTGAAATGATGAGTAATTGCTTTAAAGCTCAAACAAAATAACAGTATTCAGATTGTTCAAATAAAAAAAACATGAACACCAAAGTGAGGAATGGAAAAAACACATGAGTGCTTCTTCTAAAAAAGTAAAACATATTTTTTCCTTCATAATAACAACTATTTTATACAATATGAAATAAATTTTTTTTCTGAAAACTTGAATGATTTCAGTTTTAACCCTCTTGAGGCAGGCTTTGCCGATTTGCAACAGTTAAAAACTAACAACCTGATTTCCCCACATACATAATTTATGAGTTTTTTTTACTCAGAAGTACCACTGCAGGACTTGGTTGTGCATTAGCAGCAAAACGTTTAATTTGAGCCTGAGAGGATTAAGTGCAGGACTTTTTCTTTGTAATGAGCATTTGCAGTGCAGCATTGACATGTTCACAGCATCTGAATATTTCTTCCACCTCTGCTCCTGTTCAGACATTAATGAGTAAAGTCTGCTGAGTGAGGAGTTTAGATTTACCTGTGACAATCAAAAAGACTCCAGGCAGATCAGACTGTGCCCATCCTTCATGATCTCTCTTGAATCTGAATGTGTATCCTCCTGAGTCATTCTTCTTCAGGTTGTTGATGGTCAGGATGTGTTGGTTCTTCATGTTGTCCTGATACTCCACACGACCTGCAGCCTCAATCAGCTCTTCAACTTCCACTTTATCTTTTCTAACTTTTTTACTCCAACATTTAAACTCTGGCTTCCTGTCATCAGGATGTGAGTATTCACTTGTGATGTTCACTGAAGATCCTTCCAGAGCACAGATTCTCCTGCTGACATAATTCACTCTCCAGCAGTTTTTATCCTGAACACCTGAAATATAAATGGAAGATTTAAAATTGTTTGATTGGTCTGTGTTTCAGCACTTCAGTTTATTATTATATATAAAATAAAAAATATTTCACACTTACAAACTTCCTTAGATTGAAGATGTTTGTGGCCTTTAACTGCACAAGAGAATGTGTCTGTTGAAGAGTTTTGTGTTGAATGATGTTGATTCTCATGATAGTTTTGTTTGTTGTGATACCACATGTAGACAGTTTGATCATCAGTCAGATTACAGCTGGTGTTACAGGTCAGTGTGACAAACCCTGGTGTGGAAGAAGCTCTTTGAACATGAACCTCTGTTGAAAAGAATAAAAACACTTCTTGTTACTATGCATAGATATATTCATAGATCTCATATAATTCATATAAAAGATAGTTATAAGAAATCTGAATTTAGAGATTTAGTGGAGATGTGTTTGAACAGTGTGGATTTTTTTCTTTTTTTTACCTCTGGGATATGTGATGGAGCATGACTCATTCACTAATGTCTGATTGTAGGAAGACATGTTTCCATAAGCATAAGTCACTCTGAAGCATGTTTGTGTGATGGAATCTGAAGAAAAAGACATGAGGTTAAATATTTGTACTGAGACTATTTTTACAGGGGTTTGCGTAACGTTTTGTTGAACAATAAACATCATGACTCACCCACAGAGACTTCAGGGGCTCTGAGATCCTCGTAGCCTTTGACAGCACAGGAGTATGTGACTGCTTCCTCACTGCCGAGCAGCTCTTGGTACCAGGGAGACCAGTCCTCATAGAGAAACTCTCTGTTCTTGTACCAGATGTAGGCTGCAGGCTTTTCAGTCAGAGGACAGCTGCTGCTGCACATCAGTGTTACTGTCTGTCCCTCTGTGGCAGGAATCACCTTTACCTGCAGCTCTGAGAGGATGATGGAGGACAACTTTTACAATGATGTAATTTGGAAAGTAATAAATGAGTAAAAGTCACTGTACCTGCAACTTGAAGGGTTACTCCATTATACCAACAGAGTTCTGGTCTGTCTGTAGTCTTCATACAGCAGTAAGCATTTGCATCACTCTCTCTTAGATCATTGATGGTTAAAATTGGGTTTTTCTCTTCAGACATGTTGTACGTTACACGTTGTCCATCCACAGAGAGCTCACTCTGAACATACTTATAACCATCCCAGTCTATAGTGAACCATTTTCTGCTTGAAGTCAGATGTTGATGTGAGCAGTGCAGATCCACTGATGAACCTTTGAAAGCGCAGATCCTGGTTTCTCCTCCAGTAACACCTTTAACACAAACTTTTATCAGGAATTGAATTCATTGTCTTATCATTTTTACGTCAGGGTTTTTTTCTTTTCTTAGAATGTAAATAAAATTTTTGCTTTCTTTTCATAACAATGTATAAATAATTACTCATACCTGAAATGTAGAAGATGAAACAGACGAACAGATGTTGAAAATCTGTCAGCAACATGTTGGTTGAAGTCTTGTGTGCAAGTATAAAGATGACAGTAAATATAAAAGTAGACCAGATTAACTCACAGGTTAAAATCGATTGAAAAACAGAAGGACTGACATGACTGTTTTTGTACAATGGTTTGGCACACAAAGCACCTTTGAAGCTAAACATGAACGTCCTTCCTCTGTGGTTCTTTCGTTATCTGCAAGACGATCAATGTGGTTTTGCCGTCTTGCCCTGAATATTTTAGATGTTCAGGTAACTTTCAGTTTTCAACAAAGTGTTTATATTATTTCTCTACATTTATGTATGTATTTATAATTTTTTTTCTAAAACTCTCCTGCTCAAACTTGATGGAGTGTAAAAAAAAATGGTACAAGAGTCAAATGATTCTCCTGTCAAAATACTCATACAAACATTACAAGGCATGTTAATAGCCTGTTAAGATTATATTATAAAGACAATGTTAAAAATAATAATAATATTAATAATACCAATGATGGACATTTTGAAAACATCACCATTATTGTGCACCAGTTTATCTTGTTCTGCTGTCTCACAGTTCCTGGCCGGCCCACCGCAGGCTGCCATTATCACAGCTCATGATCTCAGCAGCAGTCTGTGCAGATGGGTATCTGGGTAGCGCTCGCAGGTTATGTTTTCAGTTATATTTTCCACTGAACCCTATTATTATCTTTGAGTTAGCACGCAAAAGGACCACAGTTCTCTCTGCTAGAAACTGACTGCAATCACAGCAGTGCACATGCAAGTGTGTGTTTGCATATGTTTGTGTGTATGTGTGTGTTGCAAATAAAGTGCCATGTCAATGCTACGAAACATGTTCATGTTCGGATACATTACATTCATTCTGTTTTTAAGTGGAGAGGGTCTGAGCCTTATTGGAGAAGCTGAGTGAGGAGGTTACATGTGAAAAGCTTATAGTCTGTACTTGTCACCGCACAGACCATGCGTCCCTCACTTGGCTGCTCAACTTTAAAGAACTGGAGGGACAGCTAGCCCGGTGGTTGGAGACGCTGCAGGATTACCACTTTGAGGTTCGTTACCGGGTGGGACATCTCCACACCAATGCAGATGCCCTTTCCTCCAGCTGGTTCATGGTGCGGCAGGGTCAGGACATCCTGGGACCCTTCCCCACCACTGACCAGGGGAACTGCTACGTCCTGGTTGCCCCGACCAGAGCGCTGTTACCACGGCTGAGTGTCGGGTCAACGAGATGTTTTGCCGGTCCGGGGTACCAGAGGAACTGCAGAGTGAACAGGGCCGGGATTTCGAGGCAGTGTTGTTCAAGGAGGTCTGTGGATCGGTGTAAGGGAGACCCGGACGGCACCACTGCACCCCTAGAGCGGTCCAGGAATCTACGAAGTGCACTCCAGCGACCTTGATGTTTGGGCATGAGCTTCGTACCCCAGTACACTTGGTGTTCAGATCCTCTCCTGAGCAGGAAGGGGGCAGGGACCCTAGATTGGACTACCTCCACAACCTCTGGGCCCGGCTACCGGAGGTGCACCAGTTGACCAGGCAGGCGCTCTGGGATGCAGACTCCCAGCAGAAGCGAGCTTATGATACCCGCTGAAAGGGGGGAGGACTGTTGCCAGGTCAGCAGGTGTGGACCTACAGCCCGGAGAGAAAGAAAGGGCTTTTCCCAAAACTGATGAGTCAGTGGGTTGGACCCTGCACTGTTCTCGAGGGGCTGTCCGATGTGGTCTAACAGAACAGGGTGGTCGTCGAATGCCTGGCACCCTGTCAGCCCTTGAGTCCACCCATGGAGGGGTCAGGGTCCCAGCTTCAATGGCAGGCCCCCAACCTGGCCTCAGAGACGGCTGGGGGACCAGCAGAACGTCCTTAATGATGCCATTGCCTTCCCGAACACCTCAGAGATTTTGCTATGGACATGCCGGTTGCTGGGGAGAGCTAACCACTCAGGTGGGGGCTGTCTGGCTTGTTGGGGGAGCGGGTAGTTATCTCCCATCATGCCTTGGGACATGTGCTGCTGTTAAGATGTTCTTGTTTTATTGTCTACAGTTACATGACTTTTAACTGTTCTCTTAACTGTTCTGCGGTACAAAGTCACTGTCATTGTTTGATGGAAAGAATGATTTATCATCAGTGAGTTTGGTTATGTTGTTATTGACGCTCGGAAGCACAGTGTAAGACAAGCAAGTGTTTAATAGAGCTCCTCTTACCTGTTTGTTGTGGAACAGCAAGCTCAATAGCTGAGTGGTGCTTTGTTGCTAAGATTCATCTGCTTGCCACAATATAAATGTACTTTGCCAAAATCTCAGGTCAAAGCTCACAAAACTATTTCAACAACCACTAAAGAGCAAAAACAGCAAATGACAGCAGGTAAACGGATTCCACACAAAGATGTAAAGCGCAGACTGTTCATCCGACGGCACGTACACGTCGGTGCTGAAAGCTGACATCTCACAGATTCTGAATCTGCAGGTTTGGTCACTCTCTGACCAAAATTCACTGAATCAGCAGCAAAAGAAGATCAAAACTACGCTTCATATTTGATAAACATCACCATGAATTCCCTCTTACTTTTGCTGTTTTGCTTCCTCCACGATGAAATCACACTTCCTGCACAACTCACTCTCTCTCAAAGACCAGTTTCCCATTAAAATCTGTTTTCTGCATTATTTGCTTGCTTATTACGCACCAGTCCACCGTTGTGTACAGACTGGTGAGCTGTTTTGTTCTGTTTTTTAAAAAATGACACCAAGAAGCCTGCCTTTGTGCTTTTCAATACTGAATAAATGTGAACTTTTGAGAATGACGCCAAAATTGCAAAAGGCTTAGCTGTGTCAACCTCTGTAACTTTGCTCCGCTTCATTTCAGCAGCATCAGGCAATGTTCATTGATTGATTGATGGTTTTCTTTCATTTTTGATCTACTGCAGAATATTTTCAAGGTTATCTGCTATAAGAAGATGTTTTTCTGTGTTTTATCCTCAGTTACTTTGACACAAAAGCATCTGATGTGATGCTTACACATCTGATGAAGTCTCACAAGTGTCAGCTTTGTTTTTATACATAGATATAAAAGCATGGATATGTACTGATAAATAATGAGAAATATACTATTTCTGATGGAGTCAAAATTGAATCAAATCAAATACCCAGCCCTATTTAAGACCCTTTCATTGTGTGTAATTGCTCTCACTGTCAGAAGAGGGAGACAAAAGGCTAAAATGAAATAAAAAAATAAAAATACATTACCATTCGCTGAATCTAAGCTGAGAATATAGCTGTGTAAACTTCAAAATTAATCGTGCTACTTCTATCATCAGTGATATCATCAATAAATGTTTCTAAACTGGATCCACTAACAGCCATTCATGCCCATATGAATATTGCCTCCACCATGTTCAACAGAAAGCTGTTCCTTTCTGCAGGCTTTTCTGTTCTCACTGTCTGTAGTCTTCATACAGCAATAAGTGTTTGCATCACTCTCTCTTAGATCATTGATGGTTAAAGTTGGGTTTTTCCCTTCAAACATGTTGTACGGTACATTTTGTCCATCCACAGAGAGCTCACTCTGAACACAATTTCCTTTGCAGTCTGTCGTGAACCATGTTCTGCTTGAAGTCAGATGTTGATGTGAGCAGTGCAGAACCACTGATGAACCTTTGAAAGCACGAATTCTGAGTTGTGCATTTCGTGGAAGTTTTAAAATAACTTGCAAACACCCGGTAGGCATTATTTGAAGTGGGTTTAAGTACATATTGATATATGGAGAAACTCTGGTCAAACACCTAAGCAGTCTCTGAAGATGGGTGCGGTTCACTCATGTCTTCTATGGCTTGACCAAACTAACAGAACAAGAAATTCCAAAACATCACATGAGTCTATACCTTCAGTTCAGCTCTCCTTTGAAAACCTTCCCTTTGAGAGCGAAAGAGAGAAAATTATGACCATGTTTTCTACTTAGACGTTGCCTAGAGATTTACATCCCAAATCCTCCCTCCTTATTCCCTGAGATAAGGACACAGAGTCTCACTACCTGTTTTACGTCTCACATGAACTTACCCCACTGTGTTAGTGATAGGGCATAAAGACACATTTGCAGTGTCTATTCTACATGCATATAACTAAGTGAGAAAGTGATATTACTATTACTAAAGTGATCAATATATAAGAAAAGAAATTTGCCACCACATGCTCCATTAACACCTTGAACAGAAACTTTGATTAGCAAACAGCTTCATTATCCTACTATTATTATCTCTCTTTATTCAAAGATTAATGATAGAAAAGTCACAATTTTAAATACTTGACTTTAGGAATTAATATGAACTCAGATTCCTTCAATTTAAACTATACAATCTGTAATTTTTTTCAAATATTTCTTCTTAGGATTAGATAAAGTTATTTACAATTATTATATAAGGACTCATAAATAATCACTAATACCTGAGATATAAAAGATGATACCCATAAACAGGCAACCAGCATCTCCCAACATCATGATTGTTGCAGTCCAGGCTGTAAGTGTAAAGCTAACAGTAAAAGCTTGAACCATAAAAGAGACAAAGTAAGTCATCGGTCAAACTAAACAGTTTTCTTTGTCAGAGTGAAGGTGAGGGGGACAGAATGACGTCACGTTGACATTAAGCAGCTTTGAAACTAAAACGAAACTTCCCCTTCTTCTTTAATGTTTTTGTGCTTGTATGCTACGTCTTGGCATTAAAAACATTTCAAACCAAAATCACTGCTTGTTTCATCGTGATAATTTTTGTATCAATAAGTATCAACTCTGCTGCATGCAGTTATGTTTAAATGCATTAAACATTCATTTGAGATGCTTGAATTGGTTGAGCAGAAAGCTGAGGAGGTGTTAAAACTGTTGTCCATATCTGATGATGATGATTCAAAGTCCAAACTTTAATGATCAAAAGCTCGAGTGATGTTGACTTTAATCTGCTCTTAAATTGAAATTTTATTGTATTTATATTTTAATGCAGAGAAAGATGACTTTTTGTTTTACTTTGTGCCTTTTGTTTTATTTAACATATCTATAATTACTCTTTGAGCTCTCTAATTGAATTGTATTCTGGGTTTGAAGAGTTAACATTAATGTTGTTTTTGCTGGCCTCTGGTGGTTTAACTCGTCAACTTATTGCAGCAAATTACAACCTCGTGCACGCCTGACCCTTCGATATGCCTGCTGGGTGTGGCTTATCGTTCCAGCCTTAGTACTTTCATTAGTAAACAGCTTTGTTATCTTTCTTTATTATCTCTCTTTTTGAGCGTTCATTAATTAATCTCTGAAAAATCTGAAGTACTGTAAATAATAAATATGACCTCAGTGTCCTCAAAATCATGATTGTTGTAGTCCAGGCCTTAAGCCTAAAGCTAAAAGTAAAAGCTTGAACCATAAAAGAGACAAAGGAAGTCATCGGTCAAACTAAACAGTCCTCTTTGTCGGAGTGAAGGTGAGGGGGACGGAATGACTGCTGTTTCATGTTGACTGGTTTCACACTTTAAGCAGCTTTGAAACTAAAACTAAACTTCCTTCCTCTTCCTTTGAATCTTTTTTGTACTTGTGTGTGTCTGGCCTGAAAAACA